GTTTCCGAAATTCCTACAAGAAATTCAAGATTTACCAAATAGGGTCAAAGTACACCTCGTAGCAAAATCAACTCTCAATGATTTCACCGGGGGCCCATTGCAAGTCTCCACACCTTCAAGAATCCAAAAGCATGTGCAACCAAATCAACATTCACGTAGCTACCTCCAATGGGTCTATTTCTAGCAGGTGAATACGATGGAACCGCGGACAATAGTGGCAAAGCGAAATAGCCATATCCTCTAAACTCGACTTAGTGTTCTTCAATATGGACCCAGATCCAAATTTCAAAGGTACAGCACGAAAGTGAATCTCCACCACGGTATTAAACCTGTGCTGACTTTTCTTCACTGATTCTGCTCGACCTTGCAATATGTATAATTGGAACCTCTTTCGTCCTTCCAATACAACACGGACACCCTTCCAGACCTTCAAGACTCCACCTACTTCAGAGAACATGTAATCTTTCGAATCAAGAGTACTCAACAAAATGAGATTTTCCTTCAAATCTAGAATATCTTAAATGTGTTCAAGTGTTCTACATGTTCCATCTACCAACTTTAATTTGACTCTACCAATACCAGCTACTTAACAAGTTCGTTGTTACCCATGACAACTGCACCTCGTGTCATCGTTTCATATGTTTGAAACAAATCCCATTTTGGACACATATGGAACGTACAAGTTGACTCCAAAATCCACTCTTTGTCATGTTTAGATTCAACGTTAAAAATCATCAAGACATCTCTATCACTCAAACAGTCCTCAACTATGTTGGTCTTGTTCGAAGTGTTTGATTGCTTCATGTGATTTGCAGCTGAAGTACCTTTATTCTGCATTTTTCACAATCCCTATTAATGTGTCATTCTTCTTGCAATAATAGCAAACCTAATTGCTGAAACTCGACCTTGACTTTCCCCTTCGCCAATTACCATAAACCACCAAAATTTCTTCAACTCTAGGCTCAGATCCAACCATATGCTTTATTTTGTCATTTGAGAATTGAGAATAAAGCATCATATACGTCTTCAATTTCGAGAATATTATGACTATACAAAATTATGTCCCTAAACGAAGCAGGCAATGAACCCAGTAGGATTAAGGCCAAATTTTCTTTATTATACTTTACCTCTAATGTCTACAAATCGACAACAATCTCCTTGAACACAGCCAGATGATCTTCCAAAGATTCGCTTTCTACCATGCGATGAAAATACATCTGCTTAAAATACAATTTGCTCATCAGACTTTTGGTCATGCACAATTGCTTCAACTTTAAACACAATGCAATTGTTGTCTTCTCATTCAAAACATCCTGAAAAGTATTGTTAGAGAGCTAAAGATGAATAGGTGAAAGTGCCTTCCAATTCTTCCATTTCTCTCCTCCGTTGTCTAAGTTGTGGATATTTTGCTAAATCCTAACAACACATCATCCAAATCCATCTGCGCCAATATATCTCACATCTTCACTTACAACAACAAAAATCTTGTATTGCAATCCAAAAGCGGAATTTCATATTTCATGATTGCCATCGATAACAAAAAACCTCAAATAAAATTCCAACCAATAGCTCTGATACCACTTGTTGGGA